TTGGGTTGACCAAAATATTCATGCTCTTTTCAAAGTGATACGTAATTGATTTTGAAGGAAGGACCAAATCATCTGTGAAAATGTTTCCCGACAATCCCCATTTGCCACCTGTTCCAAAGGGCCACAACAGGTGTGAAGCCTTCGGAATGTCTCGCGAGGAATTTCCCGAGCAAATTGAGGCCGTGAAGGCCGCAATCATTTCGAATTCTCCAAGATTCATGGATGCACAGCTGGTATGCAGGCAAAATCCTTTGAATGAGGCTCAGCAGCACATTCCGAATTCCTCTCAAGGAAATGGTTCTGAAATGGTTTTTTTGTGAATGCTGACCATTTTTGGGAATACATTTTGTGTAGGTATTAATTGACCCACAAGTAATGATGCTAGTGCCAGTGGCACCTCGTTAGCAGAGATGATCGCCTTCAATCACAAAGGATTCACACATTTTTAGCACCCTGTCGTGGAATTCACTTGCACCTGGCTAGTTCATTAGGCTGGTTTGGCTTGGAGTCCAATAGTAGTATCTCCACCGAGTAATTTTGCCAATAGCAACGGGAACACGTAGCCGACATGACATTCCACATTGGAGACCTTGGGTCTGAATTTTCTAGAGTGATTTGTACTCTGCAAGGTTGGAAGATCCGATGTCCTATCATTTGCTATTAAACTGTCAACGATTACCATTTGCCTTGCCTGCTTTCACATCTATTGAAGGGAGAGAGTCGGTAACTTATGATGATCTGAGTTTGGCAGCAAATGACTCGCGAAAGGAAGAAAGAAATTGTTGTTCCCTCTCGTGAGCATATTTCCGACATTTGATCTACTTTGGAAAATTTCGAGCTTTTGTTTAAAGAGAACTTTTTTGCCCATTGATAGCAGTGTCAATAGGTAGAACTGAGAAAAGACGTAGAAATTTCGAAGTTCGTCGCGAAAGGCTCTATGACAAGAATGTTTCACGAGTTATCGATAGACTTCATTAAAAGATGTGTAATTCCTTTCTGAAAAGTATCTGTTACTACGTAAAAGCTTGAATAAACAATAACTCTCATATTTTATTTTTATCTAAACGTCATTTAACCATCCAACGAGGAGCAAAAATTAGAGATCACCCACGAGTCTTGTTACAATTGCTTCTTCCGAAGAACATTTCTTTTACCATTCGAATCGTGCAGAAAGAAACTTTTAGTCTCCATTTGTGTCACTGATGCTTCGACCATTTCTTCATGTAGACGATTGAACCCTACAATCTCATGAAGGATGTCCAAAAACCACTGAGCGAAGTCATTGATCAAGTCCTAAAAGAGGTCTTAGTGTATTTCTTCATAGCAAAGGAAGAAACCCAAATTCAAAAGAGCCTTTTGTGTAGAAGACAATATCAAGAAAGCACAAGTACATAAGTGTGATGTCGTAGTACTATAGGTCTTGCCCAAACCCACAACGCCTATGAATTGAGGCCTTTTTGTGCAGATATTTCAATTTTCTGAGATGAGAAAAGTAATTTCTCTCCAAGGTAAGGATTTGAAATTAGTTCAAACTCAAACTCCTAACAGCATCTTTTCTCCTGCTGTCCGTGGTAATAAACAATTTTAGCGGGATAGCTTGCTGATAAGAGTGGAGGCGAGAGATGAGATCAATCAGATGGGGCGTCGCAACTCATCGTAAATCAACGTATCAGCATGGTGAGAACGATAACCATATGGGTTCAGGAGTTCACTGCCAACTTGCAGTGACTGCTGTGGGAGCAAAAATTGCTAGTTTAATAAGTACAGCCGAAAACTTTGTCATAAAAAAAAACCTTTTGGTCCAGAGGACAGCTTTTTGAACGGTGAACAATCTTTTGATTAGCTCGGTCGTAAGTAGAAAAGATATAATTACCTCAAATATAATTGCAATTACAATTTGATGCTCACAAGCGGCTACCTTCTTCGTTTCTCGTGTCCGAATAGCTCATTCTAGGAGGTAACTGACAAGTAAATGCGTTGCCAGCCGACATACAAGTCAATGCTTTCATCCCCCAGACCTAAGGCACAGTTCACGATTATTTCGAGTCACCCTTTTTGGTCGAAATGCGTGGTATTAGTTGGGAATTGTGCATCGGTGGTGAAGGAAGCGAGCAAATCAGCCGATTCCGCGTGAAATAAGGCTCCTCAAAATTGGCGAAAACAAAGATTGTACGAGATACCACGACAGAAATGACATGGAATGGGTATCTGTACGAGATTTTAGTCGTTGGAATTGCGCAAGAAGCTGACTAAATCAACAAAAACTGCCCAGAATTGCCTCTTACTGTCACTAGGAGCCACGATAAGTAGTTCGAACCTCCCACAGTAGAGACCTCTGTGAGGAGTGCAGCCTCCACAATGCCGTCAAAACTCGTCCGTGCATATTACGGGACAGTTTCTGAGCCTTTATAACGCCCTATATGGGCCGTTTTCCGACCCGATAAGGTCACATATGGCATACGAGGAGACCACAGTTCTATCCGAGCGGGATATCAAATTAGTCATTTTTTATCGTTAACTGTGCCATTAGGCCACTCCGACGGAAGGAATGGAAAACACAATTGGCCTGGGTGAGTATCGATCTAGGATTCGATCCCCACACCACACGGTCGAAGATCGAATCCCAAAATGATATCGCGCCACTTACACCACGTCGGTCTTTATCGATAATTAATCTGGGGAAATGTGTGAACTTTTTCTTATTAACATTCGCTGATACCAACCCTAAAGAACTAAAAAATCCTACAGCACTTCTCATTCGGCCTCCGCCTGCCTCTCTATCTCCCCGTTCTTAGTTTTTTTTTTCAGTGTTCATACTCGTCGACTCTCGGTCGACTAAATTTTTTTTTCTGTTCCAGAGCCGACATATTTCATACTACACGATTAGATTGCGATCATATTTTTGCCAGAACTCATCACACTCTTCTTCTGGGTTAATCATCCGATGTCTTGGGAGCAGGGTGGGGGAGGGGGAGGGGGAACATGGTCATTCCCATATTGAGAATCCTGTTCAGTGGCTCATAGAAAGTTCTTGGCCCAGGCTTTAGTGCAAGACATTGGCAATGGACGTTTCGAGGGCACTTCGAAGTTTCTTGAAATGTTTCTGAGTGCCATCAGTCTCTGTCAAGGAAACATCAATTAAGCCTAGCAAACTACGAGGCCACCTGTCGCCTCATTCTACGCCCATCCATCTATAAAGACTGATAGTGCATGTTTGAAACAATCGCATGATTTCGGCTTGATCAGCTGTAGGAGGAAGGTTCTCAATAGAAATTTGAAGGCAGAGACGGTTTGGGGAATTTTAACGATTACTGTGGGTGGGTATAATCAATAACATCTTCAAGGACCATCAGGGAAACGCTCAACACTTTCACATAGACGAGCAATTTCTGCTAACAATTACTGGTGCATCGATATAAATTCCTGCTCAAAGATATCGAACCCCTTATGCAGTTCCTGGATGTTCATAGACACAAAGCCCAATGCCTTTCAACAATACGTTGAAAGTAAATCACTTGCTTTAAGAATTGTGGAGAAGTATTAGTCATGCTATGATTATTTTGGCCCATGGAGAATGAAGTCCTGTCATTATCGTGAAGTCTGCCCCATGAACGCTGAGAGTATGTACCTACTTTTGGCATAACAATCTTCAGAGTTGTTCATTATCATTGGGGATCGTTATCGATATAATGTAGAGAGAGAATCAACCACAAGCAGGAGCTAAGACAGTCCCATTAAAACAGAGTCCAGCAGAGATGAGAACAAGGGTCAAAGACAATCAGCAAGTTGCATGGTCCGCAATAAGCCGCCAAGAATTTGCATGCTTCACAAAAACCGTCAAATAACGCTTTAGAAACCATTGCTTTTGCGAAACGAAATTCGTATATTCCATAGGTATTAACTCAGTTGGGCGTAGAGGTGTAATTGCAGGTGACGCGCGACACACACGCATAGTCACGGGTTCGGATCCCAGAGCCCAGGCCAACCAAGCCTGACATCCCTCCGTGATCGGTTAGTTGGTAACAGACTCGTCTGGGGTTATAAAAGCATTAATTTGTACATCGGCTGGCCACTGCAGGTCGTTGTATAGGCCACACACGCTTTCGATATGTCACGACTCAGAATGGAACTCATCCGAGGGGTTTCAGACGAGAGCAATCAACACCACAAGAGTTTACACTCTGGCAGAGCTCAGTTCTTGTAGCTTTTCGAAGAAGCAACCGAGCTCACCCATTTAAAGGGACCGTGAGTAGCAGGAGTTTACCTTCCCTTTTATTCCTAACCATTTTAGGGAACCGGGACTGTCTCAGCAATTCCTCTTCAGACAGATTCACCACTCAACCTTTGTCTCCTCGACGAAGTGTAAGTTTTATTCACAGAATAAGCTCATAAGACGACAGCCGTACATACATGTCGACAGAAATTCTGAGATCGGTTCTCTTGCAATTGAAAAAGAGGAAAACACCTCAGGTTGGAAATATTGGACGAAAACAATCTTGAATGTGCTTGAGCATAAGTACAAAAAACACCATAAATAAAACTAATCCTAAATCCACTTTAAAGTAAGGAGCACAATGAAAATTTCGGTTCATAGTAGAAAAAACACAATAAACGCAGAAAAAAAATACAACCTTGGTTGTTCAACAGCGAATTGTCTGTTATTCAACTGGGAGTATGAGAAGAATGAGGAACTGAGAAGGGTATTCAAAGATCGTCTAATTGTTGAGATGATCGGGATGGTCCAAATCTTGCGTCAAGTGAGGATCGGAATCGGTCTATCCGCTGACCAACGCCCAGTCGTGTCGTTCCCTGTAAGTTCCTAGGATATCTTCGGCAAAGTCGGTTGAGGGACCCACCATGGTGTGCGGTTAAAAACACCACCACTGACATTGACATCACCGGCTCATTACAGCAGCACAACACATCGAAAAAGTGGTTAGAATTGTGCTATATGAGTAGCTTGATAAGGAGCCAAGGTGCTTGTGCAGAAACAGAAGATGCTACGGAACCGCTCGCAGTAATGTCGACTGAGCCAGCTTGTGGATGACTCTGGTATCGCTCTTCGGTTCACGACGCCCATCAAAGCACAGATACGCCGACCATAGGACCACCATCAGAATTGATACGATCACGTACACAAAACTGTAAAATAATCGAATAAGAATATTTGCAAATATCGATGCTATTTCTACTTACGACAACTCGATCAAGTTTTGCTGGGATGAGGGGCTAGCAAGGGAGGTTCACTGCCGATACAGCCTCCGACGAGTACGGGATTTATTCGCCTTCAGAACCTCCATAGGAACCAAGAAGGACTTTGCTGTACTTTTTTGTGAGCGGTTACTGGTGGAGGAAGAGGGGTCCGGGAACTTCTCCCTTAGGACGGCGTCGCGCACGCCGCACCCGTCGCGTATCGCAGGATTGCGATGGCAGATTGGAGCGCGCAATTTGTGAGGTAGGGAGTCCTTTAATTATTCGAACTGGCTGACCGCTCTCTTCAATTTCAATGCAGTCTTGATCATCGCACATAGGACGAGTCATTCTAATTAATCAAGTCTAGTAAACAAAAAAATGAAAAGGAAATAGAAAAAA